CCTGTTTCGTGCAAAAAATCATCGCAACATTTGACTTTTTTCGCAAAAATAATAATACAAAGGTGTTTTGGGCAAAAATACATCATGCACTCACTGACAGATGGGGTCGTACACACAGATCCGTCCACATACGCGTGTTGTGACCGTATTTGCATGCTTGAGTCAAGTTAGATGACCATAAATCCGTATTTTCAAAGTTCTAGCACCAAACTGAACATCCAACGCAAGTTCTATGACTCTTGGTGATATTAGCTCTAAATAAAACAAGGAAAGAGCCAAGAGTATGTATTACCTCGGCAATACTCGTCAAGAAACCCAATCACCTTTCTTCCTCTTCGTGGATCTCCTCCTCCTCGATCTCGCTGGCCGTCCCACTGCCGGAAACCTTTCCGCTCTCGTTCGCTGGAAAAGTCTCTTCCTCCTCCTCCTGGATCTCGCCCCTCCCACCATTTGGAGTGTCATTGATCTCGCTTGTTCCACTGCTGGAAGACTGTGCGCTCTCCTCGTTCGCTGGAAAGTCCTCATCCTCGCGGCCAGAGACACGAAAGCAGATGTCTCTGGGATGCTCCTGGGCTTCTTTCCTCACGACGTCAATCATGGCGCTCATGCACGGGCTCCTGCTCTCTGCTGCTCCTCCGTACCATTCCTTGCTGCATCTAAATTCGACCCACCAGAGGTCTCGGAGGTGCTTGATACCCAGCTGAGGGTCTTTATTTGCAGGTGCAGGTGGCCCACCGTAGAACTGGAACTCGAAGACGAGCTTTTGCAGCTCCGGCATCGCTCCTTCCTGGAAGGTGACAACCCGTGGCATGCGGCTGTCAACAACGAGTTCCCTCAGGCATGGGAACCCTTCACGGCTGATGGCTATGGGATCTCTCGGGACAACTTCCAACCTTAGCGTGAGAAATTTCAGGTTGGGCATCTCCCGCAGAATCTTGAGATCCTGCTCCTCCAGTTTGCACATCCTGATGTCCAAGGACCCAAGGTCCTTGAAGTGATCCTTGATCCACCCTGGAATTCCCATATGTTTTCTGCCAACGATTAGCCCGCCACTTTCATTCAACCAATTAATAAGTTGAACGGACAGGATCTCCCTGGCTAACTCGGACACAAGATCACTCTTCTTCCAGGCTTGGCGGACGCACTCGGGCACTCCCTCCAATTTCAAGAGCTGACTAGCTTCCCAAGGCAGTGCACTGATGGTATTGTCTAATTTCAAAATCTCCAGCTTCTTGAGCCCTTCGATTTCCCTTGGTATCTTCGTCACCCCTGTACCACTCAAGAGCAGCCGCTTCAAATTCTGCAGTTTCCACATCTCACGAGGCAGCTGTGTGAGCCCTCCGTTGAAACTCAGGTCCAAGGTCTCTAAAGGCTGCAGGTCCCCAATTTCATTGCCTAGCCTTGTGATGCCTGCTGCACACACCACCAGTGCTTTCAAATGCTGCAACTTCCCAATCTCCGGAGGCAGCTCTTTGAGCTTGGTGCACTGCAGGTTCAGATTCTCCAAATTCTGGAGGTTCCCGATCTCACGTGGCAGCTCCGTCAGCCTCGTCCAGTTCAGGTCCAGAGTCTCTAATTGTTGCAGACCCCCTATCTCCCTGGGCAGCTCTGTCAGCTTTCGGTTCGGACTCACGGCCAGAGTCTTCAATTGTTGTAGGTCCCTAATCTCACTGGGCAACTCTGTGATCGATGTGAATCTTACCTGCAAAGTCTCCAGATGCTGTAGCCTTGCTATTTCCGGCGGTATCTCACTGATTCCTGTCCCTTCTAGGCCGAATAGGTGCCTCACACGGAGCAGTCCACATATATCCTTCACATGCTGATTTCCAAGGGCCTCGAATTCCAGAGCAGATATCCAAAGAACAGATATCCAAAGAGACTGTACGAATTTAAGATAATGATGATGATATTGAAGATCCAACACTCGCACACGTTCCAACTTCTCAAAAGGGACACATCTCTCAGCACCTTCAAAAACAACAAGTGATCGAATCTGGGACCAATCCAGTTCCAACAAGGTATCCACCACCTGCACCTCACCATCATCAACTTGATAATCGTCGATGCATAGCCGATGGACTCGACATGCATATGCCAATCTGATGCCGGAACTGCAAGTAATGAAATTATCTTCACGCGATTTCCATCTAAGGAAATTTCGCATCATCGGGTTCATTTGGTAGTCGGGCATGTCCGATAAACCCTCTAGACGCAGCATCAACCCTCTGTTGCAAAGCTCTTCAAGATAACCTTTTGCTATATCCTCTTTATAAGTAAATCCTTCAGCAACCCATCGCATGACCAAATCATTCATGTGAAAAGGGTAATTCTCAGGGTATACACTGCAGTACAACAAGCAGGTCTTCAACATATGGTGAGGAAGATCGGCGTAGCCAAGCTGCAAACTCTCTACCAACGGTTCAAACCCTTGTGTGTTCTGAAATCCATTTCTCTTAACTTGCTTCTCAATCATATCTTGCACATTACATGCCTTTACATGTACTCCTAGTTGTTCTTGTTGCTCTCGGACCATTGCCATTGCTGAAAACATGCAAAGTAGTGCTGACGGCACACCACCACACATGCGCACAATAGGATGGTCACCGTCAAAACCTTGTCCAACCATGTCAGGCTTCATCTGAGTAGTGACATCTTTCCTATAAAATCCGTAGAGCCACCTTTTCTTAAGAGAACTCCATATAGGATTCATTTCGATGTAGAGCTTGCTATTATCAAAATCATCTCCTGGTAGAGAAGCAATACGAGTTGTGATGACGATTCTACTGCCAAGATTATTTTGTGGAAAAGACCTCCTGATGATGTCCCATTCTTCACGATGCCATATGTCATCAATTATTACCAGGTACCTAGGCAAGTTGATTGCACGTACAATTAAGATAGTTAGTATAGACAGCTTGACCAAGTTTAGTTAGTAGACAATCTAAATTTAGCTAGCACTACACATCTCAGAAGACATTACTTAAATCGAGGTTGTTTTTTTATAAACTTGCGCACCTTTTGTTCTCTAGGAAATTGGATATGGTGTGGATGAGATCTTCCTGTGTCCTTGCTTGGGTGCCAGCAAGTGGTTCAGCTCCTACTTGTTGGAGAATACTTGTGAGGACCTCCTTCATGTTGGGATTTGGAGTGACGGACACAAAAGCCCGTGACTGGAACTTACTTTTAATCTCCTCATCCTCGTACACAAGGTGGGCAAGGGTTGTTTTCCCCATACCAGCCATTCCAACAATGGATGCCATTTTTAGCTGCGGCGGCACCGTTGTGGTCTCTTCTTCTTCTTCTTCTTCTTCTTCTCCTCCTCCTCCTCCTCCTACCAGGAATGTGATGAGCTCATCTCTCCAGATGTCCATACCAACCAGCTCCGCCGCATCCTTGTGGACAAATGGAGCTCGAGGAGGAAGCGGTTTGCTGGGAGGGCTGGATTTGGAGTTTCTTCTGGAAAATAAGCTGGAGAAGGGTTCAACAGACTTGTTCTTCTCCCACTTCCACTTGCTGCGGCACCGGCCCGACACGTCATCTACCCTCTTCTTCAGATCTTGGAAAGGGCAGCTGGCTTCGATCTTGCTCTGCACCATCAAGTGCTTGTTTCTGCGGCTGGGCTCCATGGTGAGGATGAAGTCGTCGATGGCGTCGTGCACATCGTCGGCAACATCCAGCGCTTCCTTCTTCAAGACCTTGGATTCCGAATCAAGAATCTCCTTGTCCCATATCGCCCAAAGGATGGAGTGCACAGACTTGAGCTTGGATTTGATGAACTTGACGTCCTTGCGCGTCGGGCGTCGAAGCTTGTACTCGCGGCCAAGCAGAGCACCCAGCTTGGCTACGACGGGCCCCAAGGCCCCCGTGGCTGCGGTCACGGGAGCTCTCTCCATTGCTCAGCTAGGCCTTGCAGGCTGTATGCACTGGAGAGCCGGAGCAGGAGCCGGCGGCTGACCTTGTGAATTGTGTCTATCTGGGTGGAATGTGGAGATCAACCTCCAAATGGTTACTTCAGCTGGTTATCATAGCAGAGGTGAGATTAAGTTATGCCTTCTCCTGCCTTGCAGCAAACCCAGATTCCAACAAATAGAAAAATGGTTCTTTGTCTTGATGATTTGGCAAAGCAGGAGGAAGAGATCGATGTGCTTCTTTTGATTTTTCTAATGAATGAATGGCTACTCAAACAAGACAAGCATCTCAAACGTATCGGAGATGTTTTTACTGCTTTTGTTTCGGAAAAGCAGTGCTCCATTTGTACTAGCGAAGCAAGGAACAGAACAGGATGCTCGCCTTAATTTACTTGCCCCAAGAACAGCATGCATTCCTTGGAGAACCAGCAAAGCTACTCGGTGCTTTTCCAAAAGAATCACCCTTCCCTTTTGTTTTTCTTTGTTATTGTGGAACACTATCATTTCGAGCTTTGCCATTTTGATTTGAGCGTACTGATGTAATGATGAATTTATAATGTGTGTGATTCTTTAGTGTCTTCCATAATCCAGAGAAAATGTTGTGCCTGATAAATGACGAAATGACGCTAATGAAAACTGTTGCATCTTGTTCCTTTGGTCGAGTCCCCCTTCCACACCTTTCCTCGAATGAATCAATAACGCACCGCCGCTTCTTTTTTATCTGTGTCTTTGGAGTGAGTGACTGAGTGACATACTTCAGGAATGATGCTTCGCTTCTCAAAGAAGCAAAGTTCATGCATGCAGCAAGCAAAGCAGCAAAAGCAAAAGCCCAGCAGCTTGCCAACTTTACTTGTGTCCACCACCATCCTTGGTTCCCCGCCCTCTACCCAAGAAACCAATCCAACACAGACGCTAGCGCCGCTCGCAGTGTCCCTCCTTCTGCCTGCTAAATCCTCTGCCCGGCCAGGAGCCACCACGCAGGCCTCCGCCGCTGACACCTTCGACGGCGGCCACTGACTGCTAAAGCCTATTCGGCGGCCAGCATCGCAGGTGCTCCCCCTTGTTTCTCTCTTCTTTTTGATGGAAGAGAGGAAGAGAGATCGAACCAATCAGGAGCATAGCCTCTTGTTTTCTTGCCATGTTGACAAGAAAACTAGGAAGTATGTAATGTCTACAATTGCCTGAAAATTAATTTCATAACTGTGCAAGCATGGACAAAAGTTGCGATACCTACATTTTGTTGATTTTCGTTTCAATCTTGTGGTTAATTAGCCAGATCTTCTAGCCGTACTACAGGGTATACTAGATGCCTAATAAACAGAGTATTATCTACTAGCATCTACCTTCTATCGGTGAGTAAATTTCCACCTGAGTACAAATTGCCATATTTCCATAGGTAGGTTATCGGGTTGGGGACAATTTAGTGTTTCATGTTCTGACTATATGTGCCTAGCCTTTACCTAAATTATTTTTCTCGCCATGATTGATGACCCGCCTTTATGCTGTTTTTCCGTTTCTTCTATAGACTAGCTCTGTCTATACTTGATTTGAACTTTCTATGGCCCACTCATCCTTTGCTGCACTTGCAACAACAGCGAAGGTGAAGATGGAGATTGTGGTGGGTGCATAGGAAGCAACCATGAAAATAGAGTTTGACAGGAGTACACCGCACCTGCTTCCACCTGCCTGTGCAGCCACTGCCTTCGACGGTGGCTGCCCTGCCCAGTGACTGCTCAAGACTCTTCAGCGACCAGCAGCTTATTGTCCAGTTTGCAGGTGCCGCTTCTGCCCCCAACTCCAATTTCTGTTGTCTGGTAGCTTTTTGTTCCACTTGCCATGGCAGTTGATCTTGGCAACCTACCATCATTGCGAGCATGTTTTTCACTCAATTAATTAGCACTATGACATATAAAAAGTACAAATTCGAAAATCCCATGAAGTGCATAACGTCCACAATTTCCTCAGCATTATATGCAATCTTCATTTTTGATTAGTGGTGTTGATATATATTGTGGTCAGCAAATTCTATATGCAAAAAATACAGTCATTGGTAAAACTTTTGTTCGTATAATTTCTCTGATCGGGGGCAAATTGGTATTCGCTAGAAATGTTCCATGATCTGATTGTGGAGCTTTTTACGATTAATTATTTTTCTAGCCATAATTCATGCTGACCCTTATCTTCCTTTTTTCCGTTCTTTTCATAGATCAACAACTGCTGAGCACTGTCTTTGCACTTGCAGGTTACAACAATGGGGGGCAGATTGTAGTAGTGAAGATCACAGATAAAGAAGATGGAGTTTGTAGTGGGTGCTTCAGAAGCCACCATGAGATCTCTCCTAGGCAAGTTGGGTGGTCTCCTTGCCCAAGAGTACACTCTGATCCGTGGTGTCCGCGGCGACATCCAGTACATCAGCGACGAGCTCGCCAGCATGCAGGCCTTCCTTGGCGACCTCGGCTCTGCCCTGGATGACCACGATCGCCGGCTCAAGAACTGGATGAAGCAGATTCGTGACATGGCATACGACATGGAAGACTGTGTCGATGACTTTGCTCATCGCCTCCCTCAGGACTCTCTCAGCGATGCAAGATGCTCCTTCATCGTGACGATAGTCTACGAGATGTGGACGTTCTGGCCTCGCCGCGACATTGCCTCCAAGATTGCTGAGCTCAAGGTCCGGGCACAGTACATTGCTGAACGACGCAGCGGATATGGAGTGAACAACCCAAGCCCAAGAACAAGCTCTGGAGCCGGAGCAACCCATGCTGTTATGTATGGCATTGCTGAGCATTTGGTGGCAAGCCGTCAGCTCATCCGCACAGAGAACCCCGTGGGAGTGAAGGTGGACATGGAGAAGCTCCGGAGTTGGCTAACCAAACATGATAAAGGCTCTCATCGAGCTGTTGTGTCCTTGATTGGATTCGGTGGTGTAGGAAAGACCACCATTGCCATGGCATTGTACAGAGATTTCAGGAATGAATTTGATTGTCGGGCATCAGTCACAGTGTCTCAGAACTTCGATGAAGATGAAGTCCTAAGGGATGTTCTTGGGCAAATCAAGCCAGCAGACAGTCAAATCAAGACAAAGGAGGAGGTGCAGGAGGGCAGCAACACAGGGAAGGTGGAGAAGAAAAGTCTAGCGACAAACATTAAAAGTTCAGTTAAGCGAGTTGTGCCACTGCTCTCTGGTCACAGGCCGCAAAGCAATGATGGCAGCATGCAGAGTAAGATAGAAACAATGAATCGCGACCAACTTATTGAAGAACTCAAAACGCGCCTGCTTGGAAGGAGGTACCTCAAAATCATTTCCTTGTTTTTTTCTAAATTACTCGTAGTAAGTTAGTGACGACTGTGTATATGCATCAAGTGTCTAAATTGTAGCAATGGTGCGATAAAATTGTGTTGTTTACCACAGCAATTTCATTCTGAAGTATGTACAATGGTGAAAGAGAAAAGGGAATTTTTTTCAGAAAATAAAAACCTTATCTAACTAGTTGAGCCTTGATAATTAAACACCTAGTTAAAGTTCCACAACGAAGTTTCGTAAAAAAAAAGGTTGCACAAGGAATAATTGTGGAAATTTTATAACTGAACCTCAACTTGTTACCAATGGGAGATTTTATAGCTGAACCTAGTCAAGTATAAAAACTGGAATCAAAATCAGAAAACTATATCCATCCAATTCATAAAAATATGGCAATTTGTACAAAGGTTGGGTCAAACTAGTTAAATTTGTGTTGAATCTGAACATGTATAAGGCTCTCTTGGACTGTTTGGAGGATTTTTTTTTCTCAGTGGTATGAACTTAAATAAGCTAAGGATGCTTCTTCTCACTTGTATTTCGTTTCCTGTTTCTTGGCAGGTATCTCCTCTTGATTGATGATATATGGTCTGTTCAAACATGGGAGACCATTAGAAATTGGTTGCCACATGATAATAATAAGGATAGTAGAGTAATAGTAACTACAAGATTTCAAGCTGTTGGTGCGGCTTGCTCAGAAAGAGATGGAACTGATTATCTGCATACAGTTAATGCCCTAAGTGATGCCGCCTCCAAAAGTCTATTTCATCAGGGTGTTCTTGAATCCCCAATCAGCCAAGAAAGCGAAAGAATGGATACTGTTGGTGCTGAGTCCTCTGAAGGAGATGGAACTGATCATCTGCATTCAGCTGATGTCCCAAGTGATGCCAATGCCAAAGGTCCGTTTGATGACCGTGTTTCTGATCCACAGAGAAGCAAAGAAAGGGGGAAAGAAGAGGTCCATGAGGAGATATGGAAATATTGCGGGGGGCTGCCTTTGGCCATAGTCACCATGGCTGGCCTTGTGGCCTGCAACCCAACAAAGGATAATGACCATTGGAATAAAGTTTGCAAGTCATTGTTTCCAGAGCAAGTAAGCCCCCTTACATTGGAGGGGGTGATAAGGATACTTGATTATTGCTACAATGATTTGCCAGCAGATCTCAAGACCTGCTCATTGTACTTGAGCATATTCCCCAAGGGCTCGAAAATTAGTAAGAAGCGTCTGACCCGGCGGTGGATATCAGAATGTTTTGTTGCTGAGAAGCAAGGGCTGAGTGCAGAGGAAGTGGCAGAAACATACTTCAATCAACTTGTAAGCAGGAAGATAATACGGCCCGTGGATCACAGCAGCAATGGGAAGGTCAAATCCTTTAAAGTTCATGACATGATCCTGGAATATATCGTGTCCAAGTCAAGCGAAGAGAATTTTAACTACGCCATGTTTCGTGTTTGGAAACAGCCAATTTTTGTGTTTGGAGATTGGCAACAAAGTCATTTATTTTATCATAGGAATTCTCGAATGCATATAAGTTCAATACTACCAGTGACAGTTTTTGACATTTTGGCTGTATACATCCAAAATGTAAGGTTTCAGAGAGCTCAGGAGAGTAGATCCTACACATAGTCATTTATCACATAAA